ACCGAACCACTATAAATCTTGTGTTCTTATTTTTGCTTCCGCACTTTTAAATTCCGCATTTGGTTTGGTGGTGTGATTTGGTTTGTGAATTTATTTCTTTGTCTCAAGAATTTTTAAAATACCAATTCACCCCCCCTCTTGGTTAGCTTGGGACTAAGTTCATAGGGCTTAACATCCCGAACGAACTTTCATATGGCACACATATATGGACGAGCATTACTACACATTTATGTATGCATACAAATTTTATTAATGTACTTATTTACTTTCTTTTTTTTTCCTAACATCACTACATTGGGCAGATATAAAACGGCGTACGACGGAGCGATAGGCACACTTCCAGGGAAGGAGCACTGGTTGATACTTAGTGATGGCGAGATTGTAGGTAAACCAATTTCATGTAGGCCTCGAGGTAAACTGAAGAAAAGAAGAATTAAAAACTTCTTAGAAACTACAAAGAAGACTAAAATGAGCTATAAGTGTGGATGTTGCAATTCTTGCGGACACCATAGAAGCACTTGTAAGAACCCTTTAAATGCTGATAGAGAAGGAAATGATCATGACTTTCATATGCCATAACTTCTGCTCCACGTGAAAAAATGCCAATTAGGCATGCTGGTCGTCTAGCCGGTTGTTGCTAATCTTTAATTGTTTTAAGCTTACAACAAACAGAATTTTGTGCCATTTAATTAAGCAACTATTTAGTATCAAGAATTTTGTAACCATTTAGTAATGCAACTACTTTGTATCCATTTTTGTGTGACAATTTTGTTAACCAGTTATTTTGTATCAAGAATTTTGTAACAATTAAGTTAAACAGTTATTTTGTAACAATTTACTCAAGCAACTATTTCGTTGTAATCTGCAATTTCATGCAGTTGTTGCAACAATTATCAGCTCATACTTACTGCTTATTCATACACCAGTAGCAACTACTAGCAACTATTAGTTGTACAGAAAGTCATACTTGATGCTTATTCAACTATAGGTGTAGCAACAATTAGCAACTGAAACAAGTCATTTTGCTGCGAGTCGCAAGCCAAATTTCTGTTGTCCAGCAACTCAAACAAGTCTAAAAACTCCTAAAGTCAGTTTGCTGGCTTGGCTTTTTAAGTTTGTACTCAATCCGCAAGCCGAAAATCATAATTTACTTCAGAAGCTTACAACAAACAGAATTTACTTAAAGGAAAATAAAGACTTCAGACTAAAACAATTCACTTTAGCTAAAAAGAATTGCATTAATAGTAATGTCTCGATTAAAACAAAGAGAATTATAAACAAGCAAAATACAAATTCAACTCATTTACAACTACAACACTTTGATATCAAATTCAAGTAAACAACAAGAAGAAAAATACAAAATCAACTCATTTACAACTACAACACTTTGATATCAAATTCAAGTTAACTACAACAAGCAAAATTAGGATCACCAATAACATTTTAATTAAAAAAAATAAAAATAAACTCAGTTGTAACTAAGACAACCTAGTTGGAACGGACTTCAAGTGCTTTTGCATTTGTAAACTGATTCGTTTGTTCCGATAAATCATTTCATTTGTCGACCCACCTAAAAAAACAGCAATCACCCTCTGATCTGTTACGTGGGCTTCAGTATAATAAATGAGAGTTATAGAAATAAATAGGTAAAAATTACTTAGGTTATAAGTAATTTATCATTACTAAATAGATAAAAATTATTTTTTATGATGTATAAATAAATAAATTATTATTAACTAAAAACTAAATATTATATACATTATAAAGAATGAATTTAAAAAGTCTATTAAAAAATGAACCTCAACTCCTCTATGTTGTGGGCTTCATGAACCACAACTCCTCTATTTAGTCCTAAACATCTTTTGAAAAACTTTCTTGTTTTGTTTATATATCTTTTTTGGATTTTTAGGAGTTAAGAGCTTACAATGGAATAGTGGGATCATGTGAATATGCTTTATGGTGCTTCGGGACAAATAAATATAATAAAAATTAATATTTAATAATCGTCAATCATGACCTCTTGTCTGAAACATTACAGCTGGAGCAAAAGGATATTTTAGAGTCTCATTGTGGAAATCTTTCTTCCTTTTGCAATTTGGATATTTTAGAGTCGCATTCCTAGCTAGTTGCCTATACTTTTTTTTTTCTATCTTTATTCCCTTTTACAAATGTCTTATATCTGTGTTTGGATTGAAGGAGAACGAAGGAAATGAAAAGAGGAAACTTGCCACTATAGATTATGAAACTATGATAGCTCATTTTGGTGATTTTTATGACCAACAATTTTTTTCCATATTTTGGGACGGGAGGCTCAAACGGGAGGTAGTTTATCTAATCCATTTTGTTCTGTTTCAAAGGCAGAACAGACAGGAGGTTAGACATGCGGCTCCAACGGGAACGGTGGGCTGTGTTTTGATGGGAACAGAGAAGCGTTTTGTTCTTGGACGAAACAGAGAAGATGAGCAGGAGAAAACGGAGTGGTATTTTAGAAAGGCAAAGAGCTTTTTAGTGGTATGTGTGTAAATATGTAAGTTTAGGTGTTAGATGAGTAAATAACATAATTTTAAATGTTATGTATGTACAAATCCCTAAATTAAAAACAAATTCAAGTTTTTTTTTTTTTTTTGGGACATTTAGGCCATTGAAGACAAACTCACACACACAATGCATGCACAAAGACTCGAACACAATAACTCTTAGTTGGAAGCATAAGCTCTCAACCAACATACCAAGATGAGCTGTGTAACAAATTCAAGTTGGTCGCCGAACTGCCACCATACAAGCGTCGCTATTATTTTATTTTTTCCTAAATCTATAGGAAATAATTTATTCCTGTAGAGCATATTAGAAAGCTTGGGCCCCACATAGCTGATATTCTAATTAGTTTGTTTTTTTTTATGCTGATATTCTTATTAGTTTGTTTTTTTTTAATACTTTTGATTCAAAATAAAAAATTATTTCTTAGTCAATTAAAATTGATGTTTATTTCCTATAATTGAGACATTTTTCACGATTTTATTTTTTATTATTTGTGATAATTTTATTTATATTTCAAAAACATTTACGAAAAAAGTAACTTTACACTAAATTTTTAGAGATTACTATTAAAAAAACTGCAAAGAATTATATATTTTTCTTAAAATAATATTAGCAAAAAATCCATGCATAAGAACAAACATTTTATTCAACAATTACGCAACTGAAAACAAAAGAAAAATCAACCTAAATAACAAAAGACCAAAAGCTCATCTACTTTAAATAAAATAATGAAGAGACATTAACAACAGTAACACTGAATGACAGAATTGTCGAATAATCCATAGTTATAGAGATCTTAAGAACCCCAAAGAAACACCATAAATGCATTATAAGCATACAAAATTAAAATGTAGTGTGTTAAACGAAATAAAAATGTACAGATCATGACCATGAATATCTTCATCTCAGCACTAAAATGAAAAAAGAGTTTTAGGATGATATTCTCTTTGTCTGGCTAAACTCGAGGTGCTAAGATGCCCACGGTAACTTCCAAATAAAGAGACCAACCCACAATTCAACATTTATCTTCCAGAATCATATAAACTCATCAGTCTACTGGTAAGCACTGTAGATCACGTCGCTAGTTTAAGTAGAAGAAAAGGAATTAGCCAAAAAAGATGTTTCAAAAGCTGATAATGTTATGTTAAAACAAAAGCCACTTTGCATAAGATTTCTTCTCATGTTGAAAGCTAGAGCAAAGAGAACAAATATAAGAACTATAAGGTGCATACATATATTCTTAAAAATAAAAAAATGCATGGCAAAAAAAAAAAAATCCTCTAGAATGTTGCATTAAAATTGTCAATGGAAATTGCACGATAAACCTTAACATCTTGCTAGCTAGCGAGTATATATTATCAAACCTATTTCTTACAGACAAGTAGTCGTCAAGCATGGTTTCATTCCACTAATTTGCATAGGGAAATATAATCATATAACAAAATTATCACACACAAAAGAAATTTATAGAAAATGGATAACGTCTTGCATCATAAACATGATGACATAAGAGCAGTAGCATGTATTCATGGGTGAAGTCAAACAATTTAATAAAATGCACATAATTGACCATAACTCGAGGGTGGCCATGCATCTCGTAACAAAGAACTAATTTTCAAAGTTAGTGAGATTTGAGCCCAAAACTACAAAATTCATGTCATTGATTGTAAAAGTTCCTTAACCGATAATTAGAGCTCCCCATATAGCTCGTTGCTCAACTCAAACCCTTCACTTCTAAAATATTTATTAAAAAAAATCATCCGATAAACATGAAGCCACTTGTTTTGAGGCTTTAGAATATGAAACTGACCAATCATTACATATCCCAATGATTGGAAACTTCATTGGAAAGTTTTCTCCTCATTGGATATAACCTGCATTTTAATAAAGATCATAGGGTTTTTTTTTTCATATTTAAAAGAACTGACATCTGATTCTATCAATATAAACTCTTGGGATGAAGATTTTGATAGAATGTAAGCTAATTTCTATTTTCAAATGCAACATATATGCTAAAGTTTAGGTTGGGAGTTGAGCTTAAAGATCAAAAATCGAACCAGTATTTGGTTTTGATTGAGCTCTTTCTCAAAGCAAATGAACCGAGTCATAAGCCAAATCAGAACTTTTTTTTATTCAATTTTGAGCCATAAATCAAATCATCTACACCTTTGTTTTTTTCATAGTTCTTCCTGCTAAGCAATGTTGCAAGTTTTTTTAAAAGTCTGGTTTTACTCAAAATTATTTCACCTATCAAAATTTTCCAAAACATATAAGATATTAACTACAACCCATGTATTTGATTTCAAAGTTACTATATTTTAAAAATCACAATTATCTTATCATGCAACTGGAAATTTCCATCACAAAAACTTTGAAGCATTAGGTTTATAATAAAGTTATCTAAAAGAGAACAAAAAAAACTTGCAATCATGCTTATAATAGGTTGTAATGACGTTAAACAGACGGATATAGCATTAAAAGGTGATAATACAAAATTTAATTAGGTGAGCAATGATGATTATCTCAATATAATCTGAACCTTATAAAGGATAACAGGAAATTTAGTAAATAATATGTTTAGCCTTTCAAGAACACAATAAATTTGTTTTTGCTCAAATATTTTTCTCCTTTGCTGGGAAACAAAAGAAAAAAAAAATGAAATGTGAATTTATTGGAAGAATAGCTGTTGGGGTTAAAATTTCTTTGTCTTTCTTACATGAATAGGAGGTGTTGTTCCTGGCCTTACAATGAACATGAGTTGCCAACAACCTTCTATCAAATTGGAGTTTGTAGGATCAGGTATGCCCTTTAGATTCTTTAATGCTTCCACAACACATTCCACTTCATTCAGCAGCTCAGCATAGGCTAAAAAGCGGCGCCATTTGGATCCTGGCCGGGCAAGACAGGGGGTGTGAGATCAGTCGGCAAGCTAGGCTTCGCTGGCAAAGGGTGGCTCTGCTAGGAGGTCGAGGCCGATGTCGACATGGTAGGCCGACTGGAATGAGGCGCGGCGGCATCAGGTCGGACGGGAGAGAGCGAGGTCCGCATGGGGATCTTTTCAGAGGCTGGGAGAGAGGATGTGGAGTGTGGCTCACTAGAGTTGGAAGACAAGAGGGATGGCCGGTGTTAGCGAGCTGCTCATGTGAGACTCCAAGAGTTAGAAGCTTAAAAAGCCATGGCTCGAGAAATTATTATGTGCGCATTCCGGACATAG